CGTCTTGGATACAGGGCTCGAAATTCATTTTTGGAAATAGGTGCAATGGTGCACCCAACCTGACAAAATTGGATGCACAAAAAAATATTTTGTTTGCACCATATATGAAATGGAATAAGTAGAATGTCCCTGAAAAATTACGCAATAGGGGCTGCACGAGCAACCTCCATGGAGGAGCTCTGCGGAGCTCCTCCATGGAGGTTGCTCGTACAGCCCTCCGCGATACCCCCGCAGAGCTCTGCGCCTAAAGAAGTCAATTCGTTGGTTGGCGTCACCGTTCAGTTTTACTTTCACCTCTTTGCGCTCTGCGCTCAAAACAAGTCAATTCGTCATGGCTGGCGACACAGGTTCAGTTTTGTATAGAGCTTCGGGGATTTTAAGCCAGTTCAATGTGACTACTAGGCTTTGTAACGTACCAGGGGACCGCGGAGCTGGCTATTGCTGCTCTGATAGGTCGGCCTCCGTCGGTTTCAAGCTTGCAGTCAATAACTCTGCGCCGAAACAAATCAATTCGTTGTTTGGCGTTACCGCTTATTTTTGGTTAGACCCTTGTGAATAAAGCTATAAGTACAAAACACGATGCTGATGGTTGACGTCACGGGTTCAGCTTTGTATAGAGCTCTGAAGATATCAAGTTAATTGAATATGACTATTAGGCTGAACAGCCAGTACTCTGTCACAAATAAAGACTTCGTCACGCAACTCTGCACAGGACTGCTCGCTCAACTCTCCGTCAGTCTGTGACACACGAAGAGCTCTGCGCCAAATTAAGTCAATTCGTTGGTTGGCGTCACCGTTCAGTTTTGCTTTCACCTCTTTGCGGTCTGCGCTCAAAACAAGTCAATTCGTCATGGCTGTCGACACAGGTTCAGTATAGAGCTCTGAAGAGATCAAGTTAATTGAATATGACTATTAGGCTGAACAGCCAGTACTCTGTCACAAATAAGGACTTCGTCACGCAACTCTGCACAGGACTGCTCGCTCAACTCTCCGTCAGTCTTTGACACACGGAGAGCTCTGCGCCAAATGAACTCAATTCATTGGTTGGCGTCACCGTTCAGTTTTGCTTTCACCTCTTTGCGTTCTGCGCTCAAAACAAGTCAATTCGTCATGGCTGTCGACACAGGTTCAGTTTTGTATAGAGTTCCGGGGATTTTAAGCCAGTTCAATGTGACTACTAGGCTTTGTAACGTACCATGGAGCTGCTCGGACAACCCTAGTTCCGTCGGTTATAAAGCATACAGAGCTCCGCGACAAAATTCGCTGGTTGTCGTCACGGTTGAGTTTTGCTTTAAATTTTTTTAGGTCTGCGTTCAAAACAAGCCAAATCGATGGCTCGCATCAGTTTTGTATAGAGATCCTTGGATTCGCGATATCCCAGCAGAGCTCTGCGACAAAATAAGTTAATTCGTTGTACAATAAAGGTCTTTAATTCACTATATAAAGGGCTCTGTAACCTGCGACAAATTAAAAAAATAGTCTACGGAGCTCCAACCGCGGAGCGGCAATTTTTCGTCTCGTAAACGGTCGATACCATTCGGCTGGTCGATGCCATATCCGAGCAAGGAGTTTCTACTAGGTGTAGAAGCGTACGGTAACTTTTTTTGCGGGTCAAAAAACGAATAAAAAGTGATATACACTATAAAAAGCAATATTCTAATTGGAAGTATAAGGGAAGGTCATGTCGAATTGTAAATGTTAGTAAAAAAAAGGGCAAGCTGAGATTCAAACCCGGGTCTAAACTCTAAAAACATAACCTAAACCCGTTTAACCTCTACGCCATGCGCCACAAAACATCACTGTGTGGAAGGTCCATTCTGATACACATAAAGTTAGCCGTTCTGCGATATGGCATCGACCGTTTCAAAAGGCGGCGACCGTTTACAAGACGGAAAATAGCCGCGGAGCTGCTAAAATAGCCCTCCGAGAGTTGTCACAAACAGCTCTGTGACCAGACAAGTTAATTCGTTAAACCTTTAGTATACAGGAACAATATTCAGAGAGACAACATATTTGCTCCATAGAAAACAAATAAGTCCGAACAAACATGCTTTTTCCCAGAATTTTGTTGTGTGATCGATCATGCAGGGTGGCACCTATTGTCCTGTATTTTACAACCAACATCCGCCCTAATCGAGACGGCCACCCGCACACAAAACAAGCCATGCCGGCATGCCACGCCATGCACAGTTGTGAACTAGGTGTGAACGTGATAATCCAAAAGTCAAAAGAGTGCAAAACTGAACCTGCGACCCCGCCATCGAATTGACTTGTTTTGAACGCAGAGCTCTTCATGCTTTATATTACTGACGGAGCTAGGGCTGTCCAAGAACCTCTATGAACTCTGCTAAGTTTTGTTTGCTTCGGAGAGCCCCTGCACGAAGGTCTAGTAGTCACATTGAACTGGCTTAAAATCCACTGAGCTCTATACAAAACTGACGCCAGCCATCGAATTGGTTTGTTTTGAACGCGGAGGTGATAGATTTAAAAGCAAAACTCAACAGTGACGACAACCAGAGAATTGACTTCCCTTGCCAAAGTTGTCAGTTGTGCGGCTGTAATGCCGCATTACGTGGTCATTATCAGATCACTTCTGGGGTTACCCCGGCATCAAACTAACTCCCACTGAACATTGGGAGTAATGCTGGGTTGATGCCATGACCATTAATCATCATTAATCATCTGGGCCTGTTGGAGTGGGGCAGAAGCTGTTGCCTGATGTGATCTCCACCCCTGACAGCCTGCCTGACAGCTTGCCAGTGGGGATGGTCACACCAAATTAATCCTGTGCTCTTTGAAAACATATGTGCTTTCTAGGAGGTGAAACATAATCTGTTTTCTTTGAGCTGAAACACAGCATCATATACATATCTCCAATCCCTTTCTCTGCAAGGAGAACGAATAACATGTAAGACTTGGTATCTTAAGCAATGTTAATCAAACTTATACCGTGTCAATTTATTAATAGCCAATTAAGGAGTCCACAAACTGTTTTACATCATCAAGGACAACCAATTACATCTAAACCAAGGTACTATTCCCCTGTGCAAGGGTAGGCATGTACACATGTAGCTCTTAGGCCAGGCCCAGGGCCTGGCCTGGTGACTCACCCCTTCTGGAGTTGTGTAGGCAACCCAGGGGAAGTGGACCATTACTAGAGGAGAGTGTTCCTCTCAGAAATTTGGCTAAAGGCCTAGGAGGATAGGGTCTTACCAGGTTAATTACATGTACCTCCATCAAGGAGGTTGTGTTTTCAGTTAGTCTCCACCAGACTCCTTTGCGGGCAGGTTAAATAGTTAAGAATTCGGCTAAAAAAAAGAGATCTACTAGTAATTGGCACGGGCAGATGTGTCCCTCTATGGCCGGCTAACTCTCCTGACCAATTACTAGTATATCTCTTTTCAGGCCAATTTCTACTATTTACCCAGAAAAGGAGTCTCTGGTGGAGTCTTGAACAGCATTACACTTTACACAAGAATCAAATCAAACTTTATAACACAATGATTGTAGCAGGTACATTGTACATGTACAATGTACATGTATGGCAGGTTCTTTAGACTACTACAGGTACAACAAAGTAATATTATGATTCTGCTCTAGCATCTACAGTACATGTAATACAGTAAATGCTTATCTGTTCTATATTATATAGATCTAAACCAACACTATTCTTTTTATTATAGGTGATACAATATCATCATGATCATGGATTTTAGAGTTTTGTGGAGACCCACCCATGAGGGCCTCCTAATAGTGGGTTTAGACTTAAGTGGACACTTTCTTGGGAGGGAGGCTCAATCAGTACATGTTTGTTTCTAATGGAAATCCAGATGACCAGGTCACCAAAAGGTGACAACCCTATCTGCTTTTACTGAATTTCCTCCCTCTAATATGTCCGGGAATAAGTGCAGAATGGGCACCAATGTAACATGAGAGAAAGAGGCGAGTTAAGCCATGGCTCCCGGTCAGACTCGAACTTAGGCCACCAGCTTGCAAACCTGAGCACCCTAGGATTGTCTTACTAGTTCATGTATCTGATTGAATTCTCTGATTCCTGGGTACGTGACCCAGTTCTCTCAGTCAGCGCCCAACCTGAAAGCTGTTTTGTCCAACATGTGGTATCTGGACCTCTCAAAGGGAGAAGGTTACACTTTTTGAGTTCCACAAACTTATAGTACTAGACCAAGTAGCCTGGCCTTAACTCACAGTGGGGTCAGTTTTTCATGATCTGCCTATAGTATAGCTTCCAACAAAGCTGAGTAGCTCTGGTTATTAGAGATAGAGGAGTGTGTTTAGGTTTCATTCAAACAGCCTACAATACACAAATGTAGCTGTGTCCAGCCAAGGAATTTCCTGAGCAGCCAGGCCATAGCCATAGTGTGTTTAGGTTTCATTCAAACAGCCTACATGTACAAATGTAGCTGTGTCCAGCCAAGGAATTTCCCGAGGATGGATACCAGGCTAACCCACAGCAGCCAGGCCATAGCCATAAAAAGTTGTTGAGTGAAATCCAACAATATACAGCAGAAACCTTGGGGATGACAATTACTAAATTCTTAATTTCAGACAACAAAGTACTGCTGGGAACTGCCTTCTGTTCACAGCTCATAAATATGAGAAGGCAGGAAATGAACATTCAAACACAGCTGAGTTTTTTTTTTTTATTATTCTGAAAAAACTTTTAGACCACCAACCTTTGAAAAATACTCCCCAAAGAACTTACATCAAGCTACATGGTGTTTTAAACGTATTTAAAAACAAAGCCTTAATAAGTATACACATATACATGTACCTTTATTATGGCGTTATCTGCATTTGCATGTGTAACCAAAATACACATATGCAGTTTATCATGGAACTACAAGTAAATATTTGCCTAATCAAAACAATTTGCATCTCACTACCATTGTCCCTCTCTAAGATGCATTTTATTTACATATAAGATGCATTTACAACTACTGCATCAACAGGTTTTATGGAAATACTAAAAACACCAGGTTAATATGGTCTAAAGAGTACAGTAAATGCACAAGAAGTTAATTAATTTCATCAACTTGTTTCTAATATCAGTGCACAGGAGCCTATAAAATACAATGTATATATATCATTTGCCAAAATAGCCAAAACAATGCTCAAAACAAAAGGTAATAGCACATAATCCCTAGATACCATGTGGCCTGTATCACGTTTAAGATCTTTTGGTTCAAATATCAGTGTACAGTAGGGTAAAAATCATAGAAGAAAATTTGATAATTTAAAAGGGATATGCCCAAGAAATCCAATTAAGCACACTCATAGACATTTTCAGGTCATTGATATCCTTCTCGTATCAGAAGACAGAAGCCTAAAATATACATGGTTTGGGGGCAAGAGCCAATAGCAAAAATGTGCTAAACAAAAAGTCTGGCGTGTTTTCAAGAAATGTATACAATGGCACCCCTTACCAATATTTGTGTCATTGCATTCTGACATAAGAGCACAGGAGTAAATAATACAAAATGATGTCAACATCTTATCTTATATGGAGCAAGCTCCTGGGCATTCTACATGTACATGTATATCAGATCTTGTTCCCAAGTATGAATTAAACTGTGAGAATCACTCAAAGTCACAATAGAGTTGCAACCAAGGTTTACTTGACACCCAATGCAAATACTCTGCCCTACATGGCACTGAGAGAATTGTCCACGTGATACTGTGGGGCAGCACGTTTGTTGGCAATATGCTGCCTGGACTTTGCGCATTTGTTATCTATAATGTGGCTATACAGCAGCTGGGACGCAGGGAACTTGGCCTTTGTTGCGGCTGGAAGATAAACATAATAAAACATTTCATTTGAAAGTAAAATGACTCTTACATGTATAAACCCATATATGACCTGAACTCACTCTAATACAAATGATATAAACTGTTAATAACTGAATCATGTGACTTACATGTAACATTTTTTGTTTACATGAAGTTCATTTGATTTGATTTGATTTTTTGGCTATATAAAATTGCATACAGCCAGGCTAGGACTGCCCAACTAGCTAGAGGCTATTGTTTAAGCCCTGGTAACTTGACAAAACATGACTGTGCAAAAGAACAATTACAATACAATGTTAAGTCAGGGACATTATCAGTGGTAGCATTTGCAATGCGTATATAAATGCATAAACAAAAGCAGTTTTTATCTTACAAGGTTAGGAGTTTAAATGCGAAGACGGTCATTTTCATCCAAAAGCAAAAGCCATACATTAGCCATACATTACTTCTTTTAATCAAAGAGACTTACAGATGATTGCTGACATGATGTCGCTATCCAGGGCAGCATGTTTTCCCTTCCCCTTATAGCTGGAAGAGGCAAGGACTTCTTTCGTGAAATAGAAGTCCATTAGCCTCCGAAGGTAGCCAGAGCCACTAGCGCCATCTTTGACCAGCTCAGCATCAAGAAGCTGCCCTGGATAGATCAGCACCCCAAGGTGGGGATCCCCAAGGGCAACGGGAACCTGCACAGTATCCTGCAAATAGAATAATTACATTTTCTTTAACCCTCTTAGCACGTGATAAAATTTTTATGTATTCCAGCATATGTGCTCCAAGGCTTGAGGTGCTTCATTGGGTACATGTACCTCTTACTATGGCTCATTATTCATATGCAAATTCAAACTGAGCCTAAATATCGACCCATTGTGCTCTACTGCAAAGCCAAAATTTCAGCCCATTGTGCTAAGAGGGTTAAGTATCCTCTTTATTATATACAATGATAATTCCACGGTCTTGGTGACCCATTCAGTCATAATTATACATATATGTGCATCAAACAATACCACAATCTGTCATGGAAATGGCATTCAATCTTGTCAAGAATATGATTCTCCAGATCTTGTTTGTAAGAGATACCGCATGGATGTGGCCAGGTTTCTGTACAATGTACATGTACAGCTAGTCACAACCACTAATTAGGGGATTTCTGTATTTAAGCATAACCTTAACCTCAGAGGTCACTGCTACTAGCCTAAGCCCAAAAGAAGACAATGTCATATTGGGCTTCAATATTGCTACTTTAGAGTCTTGAAGGTTAAAGAAATAGAAAACTAATCCATAGTTACCCTTGGGGACAGCAGGGGATATTTCCAGTTTCCAGCCCTAGGCTGTGACTGCATTTGGTTCATGTCCACGATTGTTGCCAGGGGTGGTCGGTAGTTGCTGTTGTTTCCCCCAGTGTTGTTGCCCCAAGCAGTGTTGTTGCCCCTAGCAGCGTTGTTTCCCCAAGCAGTGTTGTTGCCCCAAGCAGTGTTGTTGCCCCCAGTGTTGTTGCCCCAAGCAGTGTTGTTTCCCCCAGTGTTGTTGCCCCAAGCAGTGTTGTTGCCCCAAGCAGTGTTGTTGCCCCAAGCAGTGTTCCTATTCTGGTTGTCCCCAGTGTTGTTGCCCCTTGCAGTGTTGTCTCCATTCTGGTTGTCCCCAGTGTTGTTGCCCCAAGCAGTGTTGTTCCTATTCTGGTTGTCCCCAGTGTTGTTGCCCCTAGTAGTGTTGTCTCCATTCTGGTTGTCCCCTGGTGTGTTGTTGCCCCTAGTAGTGTTGTCTCCATTCTGGTTGTCCCCAGTGTTGTTGCCCCTTGCAGTGTTGTCTCCATTCTGGTTGTCCCCAGTGTTGTTGCCCCTTGCAGTGTTGTCTCCATTCTGGTTGTCCCCAGTGTTGTTGCCCCCCCAAACGTGGTCATCCCCAATGTTGTCCTCCCAAATGTTGTCACTGTCATCATCAGATAAGCCTTTCTGACGTGGCGGCAGCTCAGGCTCATCCTCATCATCAATTTGCTGATTCATATTTTCTGCCCTATCTTGATGCTGTTGTTAAACAAAAGTGAATATGACAGATTAGATTATGCCCTTTGCGATCGTAATACATACAATGTAGGCCATGTTAAGAATCACATTTGAACAGAGTTTGTAAGATTTTAATGCATTTCAATGGCGATACATTTGAAGTCCAAAAATCAGAGTTCAATATGATGACCATCCATAACCAGAATCAGATGATGCTTCAAGATTTTGTAGTATATACATGTATATACTGTGATGTCAATGTCTGAGAAAAAAGGGCTTTAAAAAAGGGCTTACCATCCTCTCAAGCAGCCCTTCTGTCACTGCATCCAGGTTTGCTTGGCGGTGCCTATCGAGTTCTTTTTCACGGTCCGTTTTGGGAGCCTGTGGTCAAAATATTGCTGCATCAGTTACTACTTCTTTTAAATTACCATATACACTGCAGTCTGGCTTTATACTACACCGCGACGTTTTAAGAACGATCGGGGTACGTTGAGAATAAAGTGAGTTTGAGATGAGTAGGCAAAGCGTTTCTTTGTGGTCTCTGTCTGTCTTAGTGGTATGCCCAAGGGATTGAATCAAACTCCGACTTTCCTGTTATCTACATGACGTTTTAGACCATTGGTACATACAATGTATTACATGTAGTTGTATGTGGCAGGTGCATATCTCTGCAACAAAGATTTTTTATATTATTGTCAAACAATTTAATTGTTAGGCTCTGGACCCTGTCGGAGAATGGACCCCTCCGTTAATGGTATGCTGATGACCTTAGCGCTGCGTCACGAGTGTGACATTTTGCACTCAATTCAAAAACTTACCCTGATCTTAAAACGTCGCGGTTCTAAGAATATTATTAATCTTATAATGTTGCCGTTCGGACGTTGAGTGGACTCTAATGTCGCCGCTCGAACGTCCAAACACCTTTCCTACATACATCTTTTGTTCAATTCTTTCCATTTGCTCCATTTCGTTCCATTTTGCACTTTCTGAGGTCCCAAATCATGTACATGATGTATGCCCTTCAAATTTTATCCTGTCCGCTAAACTCCCAAAGGTTAACAGTATTCGGAGGACTACATACCTTCTTCTTTTTTGCCGTCTTTTGTTGTGTGGTCTGTGATGTGTTCTGTAGCATTGAATTAAAAAAAAAGGTTTGTCAAGCCAATGATCCAATAATAGCTACCGGACATGTGATGGTCATGACCATGATCTAATAGTAGTAGTATTATAATATCTTAATGCAACTGGTTTCGTTACTGTTTCTGTAATTTCAGATAGATAGTTGCATCATTGAAAATATTGCAAAAAGCATAGTAATGGGTAGATGTTGATGCCAGGTAGATTGTATTTGTATTACGGTTACTAATATTATAAACAATATTACACACACACATATATATATATATATATATATATATTACATATATACCTTTTTCTTTTTTCCAGTCTTGTCTTCATCTTGACTGTTCTGTGTGATAAATAAAAGAATAGCCAATAGTTTTGGTACACATGTTGCAACCAAAATGCATCGTGTCCTAGACATGTCATTGCTATACATTGCTGCATGTTGTTATGCATTACATTTTGTACATTGTACATGATGAGTACATGTCATCCTCATGCAACAAGCCTCAGTCAAGAATTTTTTATTTCTGCAAAATAATGTGTAACTGCTGAATTGTAATTCATCTATTTTGTTGGGATGGCCAGAAGGGGTTGGTTTGTTGGTCTTGCTCTGCGTAGTCTGGCTAATTAAGCCACTTGGACGACATACAGGACAGTGTGTGAAAGCAGAATCAAGATTGGTGGAACAATACCGTACTTAGTAATTATTCCATTCACAGAACAAATACAGCATGACTTTGGGCAAGACTACATGTGCTATTTACGTACAGTATGTTGACCCTTTAAAGCAAGATCCACCAGACCATTGCAATGGCATACAAAATTGTCGAGTATGGCCAAATACTGACAATAATTTGCCAGGAGAGTTTTGCCATAATATAAGATTACAGTGTCTGTAATGTTAAGAAGCTCAAGGGCATACTCATGTAAAGTTGACTTTGGTTGGAATTTGTTGAATTTATGTTTTTGAAGTTTAGTGCACTAGAAGGACTCACAGTGAATAACAATTGGTCACCCTAGCACAATTCATCACCAGAAACCTCAGTATATAATAATGCATGCTAAAATGCACAGCATCAAACAGGCAGAGAAAAATTACAGCCCATACACTATTCTTTGTGGTTACCAAGTTAGAGTTGACATTTCTTCCCATGGGTTAAAGACTTGGCTCTGTCTGTGCATTTTTCAATAATTACATGTAAATCAAAATGAATCAAACATGTATTTTAGAAAGACCCATGGCTAGATATAACATTACTCTGGGGTGTGCAACAATGTCCTGTATGTGGATCATAAAAGAACTCTTGAATTTTCATCAACTCTAGTCGGACTTGTGCAAAGTAGCACTGTTATGGAAGATGTTTCTGGTATTTCACACACTATAATTTTACTTTTGGGGGCCATGTCCTCTGTCAAACTGTTGCATATATGAATGCTCACATTTCCATGCACAAACCTTTGGGCCAGCTGTCTTCTTCTTTTTCCCCTGTGTCACAGGTGTTGCTGATGTCTTCCTCTTCAGAGATTCCTCCGCTGCTTTCTGAAAATATGTTTACCTAGATATTAAAATCATTTGTAATTCACACAGACGCATTATACTTCAATCAATGTGAGATTTTTACTTTGAAATTCTTTATCTGTAGTCCAATCGTGTACAAAGTTATCTGACTTTTGTTATTGCACCTACAATTATTTACCTTCTTGGACTTCTCCTCATCTCTCAGTTTCTTCTCATGGTCCAATGCAAACTGGCTCACAACAGAGTAGTCGTCTGAAGAATAGTAAAGATTCATCTTCAGTTTACATCAGTCAGTGCATACAGACCTCTCTACATACATTGTATTGTAAGTGTTTACCTGTCCTCCTTATAATCTCAGGTGTGAACAGCTGTAAATGCAATGCAGGAAATGTGCATGCATAATGAATGTTAAAGAAGGAAATCACAACAAACCTGATTGTGTGCTAAACATCACTTTTCCCTCGTACGAGTCATCTTGACCTTTGATGGTGACAGTGCCCCCCACCTTAATGTCGGCTTTCTTCTCCGGCTGTGTCACCTTCTTTGCTTCGAAAATGGCTCCCCTGTTCTCATCAGAGAACCATACATACAGCCATTTTGGCTCTGACAAAAACAAACACAACCATTAGTGGTTCATTCATAAACCAGGTTGTACTGTGCTCACCACAGTACCAAAGTACTGCAAAACTAGGTTTAGTAATTGCAGGCATGAAGCATTTTCTCTTACTAAGGTGATTTATGCCTACTGATTCTGATTTGAAGCATGTTCTCCGAGAAATACATGTATTTTATAGCAATAAATTACATGTGTTATGGTTGTTCTACCCAAAGAGTCTACTGTACTCGGTGTGAATGTTTTAACAAAATAAAGGTTGTGTAGTGCTACATGCAAGCATAAATTAAGAATCAGAGTTCAATGCTAAAATATTGGATATAGAGCTCACCTTTGACCCGCTTTCCTTCAGGCATCATCCAGGTACAAAATGGCTACAGCAAAATGAAAGTTGTGGAGAGAAAATAAACCAGCTCCCTGTGAAAATAAACCGGCTCTCTGTGATGCAGAAGCTGAGAATGAATTTCCCGCTTTTCTAACTGACTGACAAATGGGGAACTGCTCACAGCAGGATAAGGTCAACCAATCACAGACCCCTGGTGGGGAATGGTATCATTTAGTCATGGATGACTACCTTGTCTGGAATGCTGTCACTTGATCTCTTACTCTGCATTTAGGGACACCATTCTTAGCTAGCAGATCTTTGCATTTGACCGAACTTTCTGTGACAGCATTAGTTTGTTCTTCAACATGGGTGATTTTGAGTTGGAAGAAAACGATTTCACAGACTCCTGTGGTGAAGACTGGGAGGAGCTTCATGACCAACGCGAGTCTGTAACGGAGGCCTTTAGCTGGTTCCGATCCAGGGAAGACGGAAGATCTAGGAGTGATGACACATGTAGCCTTCGGATGGAAACCATGCCTCTGTACCATGGAGCCCAGCTCACCTATGCTGAGAGTATGGTGCTAATCATGGCTTTCATTCTTTCTCATCACCTTACATCTAGTGCTGTTGTCGATCTCCTCACTCTTATCAGTCTTCATACTCAATGGGGCAGTATCTTCTGCGCATCCAAATACATCTTTGACAAATTTTTCAGTCTCAGAAACTTGACATTTCCGGTGACGAGACATTATTTCTGTCGGGCATGCTTTGCGAAAATCGCCTCCAATGACAAAAACTGCAAGACGTGCAAAAGTGACCTTTCAACGGCCAAAGCAACGTTCTACTTTCTTGAGATGAGTATGGTGTCTCAACTGCAGGCAATGTTCAAAAGTAAGTTGCTATTTTGTTATTACTCCATTAAGATGATTGTGGCCCTCAATTTAAAGAGTAAAGTAGAGTAGAGTAGAGTGGTCGGCCGGGTAGGACTTTGGTCCAGTTTGGGCCGCTCCTGTTGACTTCCTTCAGATAATCGTCATTTAAAGTTTTGTATATTATAACAGTAGTTTTTATTGCATTTTCATGACACCCCAAACAATATTTTCTAAAGACACTGATTTCACAGTTGGTCATTATTAATTTTTACAACTTTTTCAAACTTACAGGAAAGAACTTCTATGAAGCCATTTTGAGGCAAAGAAGGAAAAAGAGACGTACAACTACAAGCATCCAAGACATAACGGACGGTGTTGTGTACAAAAGCATTGAGGAGCTACAGGACCCTAGAAACATTTCTCTACTGATGAACACTGACGGAATAAAAGTTTTCAACTCATCGAACTACGGACTGTGGCCAGTCTACCTGGCTATTAATGAACTCCCTTTCGGGATGAGGTGAGATTGTTTTGTTTACATACACCTGTTCCAATGCCCTTTCAATTGTCCATAATAAGAAAACCTTAGTCTAGTTCTGTTGCACAAAAAAAACAGTCATCTGTATGAATGCATATGTACGCTCAAATTATCTACAGTTGTGACTTTCTTGTGAAAAATCTTATAAAAGGCCACACCAATTTTTTATGTTGGTTCTCAGAATTACATATGTACCTGCTTCATTTTCTGATTTGCAAAAAAAAAGATTCAGGTTTGGAATCAACTCCAATGCTCATCTTTTGGCACAGACAGTTGAAAAAAAAGCTCCTTATCTTCCTAACCTACAGTTTGACCATTTATTAAGCCAAAAAAAGGAATTGGTTTCATAAAAGTTCAAATTCATTGTTTGAATTATAAACCAGCCTGTTATATTGACATCATGGCTTCAATCATACACTATACAGCCTAAGGACTGTTTTTTTTTTTTTCGCCCTGCCACTTCAATTTTTGTCTGAAAAAAAAAAATCAGAAAACGAACAAATCAAATTGGTTTGGCCTAACGGTAATCAAATAGTAAAGAATTTACATAGTATAATTCCAGACAACTATTATGTTCTTGGCTTATCCTGAAGACTTGCTGTTGTTATATGAATACAAACATGTACAGATGTAAACAGTGTAGCTGTAAAACAAAATTTACCTGTAACAGTAACAGCATTTTTTTGCCATTCTCGATATAGTAATGAGCTAGGTATTTCACAATTGCTAAGCAGTTTCTATTAAAACTTACAGAACTCGTCGAGAGAACATGGTTTTTGCCGGACTATGGTTTGGAGAGTGGAAACCAATCATGCAACTGTTCCTGCCTCCTCTCGTAAACAGCATGCAAGGGCTCCAAGAAGGTAAGTGTTATTTTCTATGTTTTCCTCTTGGATAACATGTTGTTTTAAAACTTTAACAAAATCTAGCAGGGTAAGGGCTACTGGGGTTATATGGTCTATAGTCTTTCCCCTTGGCCTACAGGCTTCAGACCATGATGGATTCGTTTTGAAAACTAACCTGGCCCTGTTTATGGCTAAGAAAGGCGTGTAGAAAAAGGTAAACCTTAGATAATCAGCCATTCCAAAATATAACATTTAGAAATTTCTTATCTTAGTGAGTTCTCTGACAAGTTGGTCATACTTGTATGCTTGTTCGTTGCAATTCCTTTGACTCAAAGTTTGAGACAGACCTCCAAACAATATAAACTGTAGACCCTTTAACTCAAGTGGTATCAAGCTCTCACTGTCAGACAGCTACATGTACAACAACACATGTACATCTGTATGTGAAATCAAAACTTGAAGTGATGTTCATAACTTGTAGTTTTCTGAGCTGACCTGAAGGACTGATGACCTTCTCCCCTCTTGCCCTTCCCAGGAGGTTAACCTCAGGCTGGAGCTCAGACAGATGTTGTTTCAGGGATAATGTTACAGTACATGTAGCTATGTCCCAATTGACCCTACTCTTTTGTACCCAGTGGCCTGGGCACAGAAATTTCTGTGTTTTGGAAAACATGTTTATATTCATTACTGTCACTTTGCCATTGTGTCAAAGTGATAGACTGTGTGGTCTATGTTTAGTCACTTGCTATATGTCCAGCTGACTACTAGACGTATTCTGTGCTGCATGCACGGCCAGCACCTGTCCAAATTCCTATCACATTGTGTCAGTGTGTTTTTTTTTATAAAATGAAAAAGCCCAGACGGCTTATACAGAAGACAAAAACATGAATGAGAGATCCTCCCATGAGGCCTTAAAAGATTGTAGCCACGTTTTAGTAGCACAAAATTGGCGAAATTATGATAAACACAATGATTCCCACTTGCATGTAGTAAAAGAGCTTCCCCCTCCAAGATGCAATTAAGATCTTCTGTCTTTTGAAAGACAGATGCTTATACGTCGATGAAGGTTAGACATCCAGGTAATACGATATGCCAAAAAACAGTTACTCAAGCAACTGGATATGATTTTGAAAACGTCAGACGTTTCAGCTAGTATCCACTAGCTTTCGTCAGTGACTGAGAGACCAGAGGGGAAAGCAGGTTTATATACACAACCTGTTGACCGAACACAACATTGCCAACCTAGTGCCAACGGCTACTCCTCAGCTATTTTCCACCACCTACAACACAACCAGGGTCACTCTTTCAAACTCGAGTCCACGGATGTCTTAGACCGCGAAACACGCTGGTGGGAACGGGGTGTTAAAGAGGCAATATATGAAAGAATGTACAACCCCACCCTCAACAGGGAAGGGGGGCTACGGGTCGATCTTTCCGGCACTTGGGATTTGGCACTCCCAGCCCCGAGGACAGACAACACTTAAGCTCCTGTCCTGTATAACAGGAGCTTTCAGACTAATTTGCATCATCTTGTCTTGACTTGTCTGACTTTTGTTCCTTTTTCGACTTCCAAAAATTTGTCTTCACTTTATTTGCATATCAATCAACAGGTTGTGTATATAAACCTGCTTTCCCCTCTGGTCTCTCAGTCACTGACGAAAGCTAGTGGATACTACATGTAGCTGAAACGTCTGACGTTTTCAAAATCATATCCAGTTGCTTGAGTAACTGTTTTTTGGCTGACAGATGCTTATGTTTTAAAAGACTGGGAATTAAAAATCTTAAGGAATATTAAAATCTTACCCAGCACGGACTACAGATCCCCAAACATGACCACAAAGAAATTTAATTTCAAAGTCAAAAATCTTAAAATGTAGGGAATATTAAAAAGCAGACATCAATTTAGTTTGCTGCTTTTAGATTTCCCGCGCTGAGTTTGACAGAGGTGTTCGAAATAGGGGATTAGATGCATTCGATCTGGAATGGACTATTATCTCCCCTGGCTGATTTTGACTATTTATTTAGTCTGCAAAGGAGTCTGGTAGGGACTAGAAAGACTGAGATAAAGAATTTAGGTTCAAGTAGCACATTAAAAGTGTAGTACTACATGTAGTAGTCAGCCTCCTCTGAACAGCAATAATATGAAGTATTGCTTGGACTTGTAATTTACAACTACATGTACACAGGTATACTACAAAAATACACCCTTTAATGGAGAGGGGCTTAACCTTTGCTTAATTGCTAAATATGAATTCAAAGTTGAAAATAAAGGCCCTAATATTCTGTATAATGATAATATCCAAAAACGAGATATTGACATTTCAGTAGAGAGCTACAAATGTAAATGCACCAAATTAAAAATGATGGAAAGTTTGGCCAAAATGATTAAGTTAATCTTTTTTTCATCAGAACTGAAGTTGTGGAAATTGAGGTGAGCAATTTAGCCTTACTGCAACTTTCTCAGTGATAAAGTGGCCTTAGTATACCCTTGACCCTATATAATAAAGCTTTCTGGAACTGCGTCAACAGTCGTCGTAAAACCAAAACAAATGTGGGAGATCTCAGAGATAGATCTGGAAACTTCACGAAAAACGACAAGGAAAAGGCAGAAGTGTTGAATGAACAGTATTCCCAAACCTTTACGGTAGAAGACTGTAGCAACATACCTGACTTTGACCCCAAACCTCTTCAAACCACGATATTGGAAACTGTTGAAATTAACAAAGAGCTAACAATGAAGCAATTGGAAGCACTCAGAATAGACAATAGGCAATTAGCTGCGGACAGAAAATCATTGTAACCTCTGCAACAGGTCAATGTTCATGCCAAGTTTATCCAAAAAAACTAGAGGGCATGCTTATAAGTACCAGATACAAAAATCAAAAGGACCCAGGTCCAACTTCTTCCCTGCAAGAACAACCCCAATTTGGAACAAACTGTCACCAGCCACAGTAAACAGCAGCTCAGTAAATGCATTCAAGACCAAGTCGGCTATTGAATGGAAGAGCCACCGTGATAGATATGCATATGTCTTCTCCTACTGAATGCCCAGGCCGTCTACACCACGAAGACGGCCTCATTACCCAGTAGGGTACCTAATGGCCTGGATTCAGGTGAATATTCAGGTGAATATAAACATCTCCATAGTTGAAGGGGGCCGTAATGATGAGGACAGGAAGTACATGTAAACTTTTCTTCTCTGGTATGACTGGGCCATTCTTGACTTAATTATGAAGGCTAGTCAAGTTTGATGAGTGTATAACACTGTCAATCATTTACTTCTTCTCATTATAGGATTCGAGGTGACAACGCCAAATGCAGGTTCCTTCCGCTGCAAGGCCTATTTGCTTGGGAGCACTTGCGATCTCCAGGCAAAGGCCTTAGTTATGCACATGGTGGCCCACAATGGGTACTATGGCTGTGCGAAATGCCTACAAAGGGGGACCCATGAACACCATAGACATCAGTATCCTCATGATGCAGGTCCCCCAAGATCGCACAGCCAAACCCAGGCCCATGCTGCAGAGGCTCATGCACAGAAAGCTACGGTATGTGCAAATTTCATTTCAAATAATATTTTGATTAGAATCCCAATCCTTCCTATTGATCACATCAATTTACCTTTTTGTCAATAATTTCTCACGGGAGGGCCGGGACCGAGGGGGATGCGGAATACAAAGTGTTGTATTTTATTTATGTCATACCCATCCAAGAAAACGCACCTATATGAGCCTAAGTTTGGTGTCCCTAAACTAAAAAATGCAACAACATCAATCCCAATGTCCAAATTCTGTATTCGAATTTTCGAAAGCGTTTAGGCAAAATGCATGCTGATTGTTCTATGGATGCCTCGGAATCACGTTCGATAACGGGTTCCGGACCAGGCTGTGCCGTAGAGTACCGTAAAGTATAGCCCGGTCCGAAACCCGTTATCGAAAGTTATCGCAGCCCGGGTATGATATAACACTAGTTATCACACGGGCCGGAACACCTGTATCGAACGTAATCATTACTCTCCAAGGGTCGCTCCAGGGTCGCTCGGTATTTTGGCAGTATTTTCGCGTTTTTAATACGTCTTTCTACTTTTACGGGTTTTTTTTTGGTCTTCCTCCCATTATCTCTGCCGGCAAACGGAACGTTCAATGGGATTAAATTCGATCACTTTAGCACATTGTGGCCATTTGTCGACTAGGTGCTAAGTGTGTGCGGGGCAGCTCTGAGTTTCTGTCTGCGCGCCGCGGGACGTTTCCGGTCTGGCCGTCGCGACCTTTGACCCGGGACGAGTATGTAACGGTTTCGGGGTCAGCCGGTGGATTTAAACTTTCGGTAGTAAACTGACTGGATTATCCTCTTGAATCACTTAAAATGGACACAAGAAGGGGAGGAAGACCAAAAAAAAAACCCGTAAAAGTAGAAAGACGTATTAAAAACGCGAAAATACTGCCAAAATACCGAGCGACCCTACCACTGCTTGGAGAGTACGTAATCATGGCAATAACTCCAAAAATATATAAACATAAAAACAATCATAATTTTTATCAAACAACCAATGATGCTTGCCGAAGACGAGATCTCTGAACTCTAGTTCTCCGTGTACAACAATGTAAGCATAAATGAAACAAAATAAGACAAATCTTACATTGTATGCACTATTATCTTTAATCAGGTCTTTGGAATCAAAGGACCATCGTGGCTAAACTGGGTGCCCAAGTTTGATCTGATAAAGGGAAATTCGATTGACTACATGCACGGCACCCTTCTCGGCGTGACGAAGGCTCTGATGATGCTCTGGTTTGGATCAGCAAATAAAAACGCGCCATACTACTGCGGCCACCACCTTTGTGATATAGACAACATCCTACTGGCCATAAGACCACCTATGGATATCCATAGGACACCCAGGGGAATTGATGACCATTTGCGACACTGGAAAGGTATGTCATTGGCCAGGATGTTTCTTTTTTCTCCACAAGAAAAAGTGAAACTAGTTGATTCACTATCACAGGCACATTCAGAAAGTACATTTTACAATTACTATTGACAAGGGGTTTCAGGAAATCAGGTTCTAAGAGGATATAAGTTTTATGGAACGAAAGACTTGAAAACTAAAACATAATAATTGTATTAACAACAAATTTTCTTGTCACTGACACAATAAAAGACATAAAAAAAGAAGGGAAAAGGTATTGACTCAAGAAAGAATAGTACACGAAATGGAGTAATTGTTCGTAAGCAGGAGTTAGTGTAACAGTTTACTGCAATATTTCTTTTCAATAGCGTTAATTGATGGGGGAAAGTTATATATCCATTATAAAGTAAGCTGAGGCTAAGCTTGCAAGTTAAAACATTTGGCTGTGTTTAAAGAACTGTGTTATAACTTATAGCTATATTGATTTGCCAAGTTACCTGACTTACATAAAGACAAGTCATGTACATTATGTCAATGTAGTAAAGGAAGCATTTAATATCTATTTTGAGTACATATTAAGTACTTAAAGTACATTGTAAGTTGTCTTTTGCTTTCAGCTTCAGAGTACAGGTCATGGTTGCTGTTCTACTCACTGCCAATCATGCACCTGTTTCTTCCAAATGACTACTTTCAAAACTATCTTCTGCTGGTGAATGCCATCCACATTCTTCTTGGGGAGGTCATCAGCCAAGATGAGATAAACAAGGCAGAAGATCTTCTCCAACAGTTTGTCGAAGGTTTCAAGATGCTATATGGTACAAGAAACATTGTTTCTTGTTTTCAAATCTTACAGCGTTTATTACATAACAGCTCCAGATATTTTAATGATTGACTTTGGACTTTGGGCACCTACACATACATTTTGTAGTACATGTATATAGTTATATGTGGCTTTTGCTCCAAATGATATTCCATAGAGCTTTATTGCAGTGCATCGAAGTAGTAAATAAATGGTAAAATTTAAACTAGATGACATTGTAATGGGTAAGTGATAAGATTTAAGGTTGATATTCATATGCCTAATTCTTGAAGATGTGCCTGTGTTATTTAGCACAGAGAATTGTCTGTTTATTACATGTACGTATTTAACTCTACTCCATAGGATCTAAATTGGTGTCTCTAAATGTGCATAACCTGTGCCACTATGCACAGACTGTGCGTGAGCTGGGGCCTTTGTGGTGCCATTCATGCTTCTCATTCGAGGATGTGAATGGACAACTTCTCAAGCTGATACACGGCACTCAGGGTGTTGAAGAGCAGGTTAGTGCTTAGATTTAGATCTTCCATATACATTTTGTGTTTTGAACTCAGTGCAGGTTAATTTAATCAACGTTGCCTGCAAATACATGTATACTGACACATGCCGTGGGTGTCTATTAATTTAAAAGCATTTTTTACTTTTTCACCATCTTTTCGTTTTATTTATTTTTTGCTCAGGCCACACCAATCTAATTTCTTGGTTAACTGATTCGCCCGCTTCATTTTTTTCTGATTTGCCCAAAACAATTAAGAATCAATTGCAAAATGCTCATATTTTGCAGTGAACAGTTGAAACAGTCCTTTTCTTCCTAGTTGTTACAGTTATTCCATCTTTCAATGCAATGGTATCATTAAAAGTTCAAAATTCATTGTTTAAATTTTGGACCAGCCTGGTGTGTTGACTTCATGGCTCCTGTTGTTACAGTACCATTTTGGGCCAAATTAAATTGGTGTGGCCTAAAGTGTGTGTTTTTCTCAATATTGCCACATTTCACAGACATCAACAGTGCAACTTGGAATCATACATATATGAATCCATAATTTCAATGACCCAAATTAGAAAGTAACATTTGCATGACATTGTAGTTACCACCAAATTAGGTACAATTAAAATGAACTATTTCTGTAACATATCAAAAAGTATGAAGTTCGTAGCCTGTGTGCCATTTCTACCAGGGCTCCTACACCCGCTACCCTCAAAATTACTTGGTGGTGGATCAAGCGGTAGGCACTTTAGGAGCCAGGATGGTACCCAGGCTATTAAGTTTGGTGATAAGGTCATAATCACAGGCAATATCCTATCCTTTGCAACATCAGGTCTTAAGAGCTGTAGCCATCCTACAGAAGTTTTCCGAAGTTGGAGATGCATGCTTCATCCCAGGAACAGCCTCCAAGAAGCTCTACGACAGCTTAAACAACGTAACAGTCCCACCAGAAGAAAGGTATGTTTCTTACATGTAGGTGCTTGGATCTAGATCCATTTGTATTTTCGTTGACTCTGTAGGAGAGAATGTGGTTCTACATGTACATGCACATGTGAATCTTGACATTTCTTAGGTGTTCTTATCTTTGCATTTTATATGGTGACCTACAGTGTATTCAATGTGAACTTAAAAACCATCACAATAATTTTTGTCCTGTCCTCTACATTGCTACTATTGTTTCAAACATGAATACGGTATCTTCCTAGTTTTAGAAATTACATGTAGATCTGTAAGAACTCAAAAAAATGTACACAGCCTGGCTACTATGTTCACATTCTGCAAGCTGTAGATTGGGTGCATGTTTGCATACAACTGTGCCAGTTACATTGTATTTTTACCTTCGCCAAGAAGGTTTAAATAATGTTTTCAGTAACGTTTGTGTGTGTGTGTGTTTGTGGTTTAGCAAGATATCTCAAGAACTTTTTGATGGATTGCCATGAAAGTTGGTAGGTGCGTACATGTAGGTCTTGATGGGACCTAGAAATGATTAGATTTTGGGCCCCCTGGCAGCTTCTGTTGGTACTGCAGCAGAACTTCCGGTTTTGATATCTCACGATCTGGACATGCTTAAGGGTGACAAATTTTGGGTGTAGATAGATCTTGGGCTAGGGAAGAGCTTGTCGATAGTTCTATTATTTAAAGCTACAGTTAATTCTTAGTCTGCATTGTGATTATTGTAACAAAATAACTTAAATCACTCACTGAGGCATTAGAATAAGACATGGATTCCGTAGAGCAGACTCTAAGCTAAGCCTGTTTTCTTTTTTTTACTATTCAGGTCGAATTTCACTGAAATTGGCCCAGGGTTTTACTCCGTCGGGTCTCTCAAAGAAGAAAGTTGCAAGGCAGATGGAACCTACAGCACGATCAAGCCATCTCACATGGAGGCAGTGATGGCCCGTCTAGATTTCTTGCCAGAGAGTCTCATGATATACCAGAGGTACAGAAAATCATGTCGTCATATCAATTTGAGCTCTATATGCAGAATGTTAGATGCCAAGAGAAACTTGTCACTTGCACCAATAAATTTGAATATATTGCCGAAGGCCACTGCATGTATGTAATTAGCAACACTAAACATAATTGGTATTGTGAAGTAATGTACACCAAAAAGTGGGCCTCTGACCAAGTATTGTATGAGCTGAAAAATAAGTCTTAGCACAGGTAATGAGGGCATGAAACAAATTTATTTCCTTCAGCAGCATGAGGGGGGGACGGGGTCTAGAAGTAGATATGTTCACAAATTGCATGGGTGACTAAAGTGATCATGTACATGTAAGAATGTGTGACTGAATTCGAAGTGACACGAAAACATGATCATATCCTCAATGATCATATCCTGACTGCTATTTAGGCCCATTTGAAACAGTTTTTTCCAACATCGGCAAATCCCCTCAACTTGGGCAAGCCAATGGTCTATGAATCAGATGTCAGTTTTCTTCAGGTACATGTATTGCCATAACACCCATGAAGAAGAACCTGGCCCCTTTTCAAGCACATTGTAGTTCCTTCCTGCATGCAGGCTACATGTTAATTGTCTGAACCCGGACCTCCCGATGTCAGGAGACCAACAGCTTGGCTTTACACACTGGTCATGAAACTGTCAGGATTCCCAATAACATGAGGGATGACACCTTTTGAGTTGTCTGGAGAATTTTCATTACAAGCTGTCAGATGAAGTAAAATTCCGTGGAAAAGGGCTATCCTGCCCCCACATTGCCAGTCGCAATAGTGTGTAAACTTTGTGTCAAGTAGGCCTAATTCAGACTTGTGGATCTAATTAGAAACAACTGTCCATGAGCCGCTTCAAAATCCACTGTACCTAAGTAGGCAGTAAGACATATTATACATGTATGTATATATAATATTATGTAGGTCTATATAAAGACAAAAACTAATGGCCTGCATATATACAGATACATGACAAATAACATGTAACCTTCTAGTAAGAAAGGCATTCAGGAATTATTATGGTACAGTACTGCAACCAATGCAACTTAGCCTGTTTGGAGGTCTCTTCACATGTATGAATCTGTTAAATGTGAAATGCACTAAGGTCAAGCTGAAATCATGCCACTGAACTACATGTATGTGAAATGTCAGAAACTGAAGATTATTTTTTTTCCAGGATGATGAAGAATGGAGAGATGGTACACTCCAGACTATATTCAAGAGCAGTGAGGCACAACTCGTACACCATAGAATACACAACGGATGAGAACAGCTGTTTTGGGGAAGTACTATACTTCATACAAGTAACAACACGTACATGCGGCTGCGGCATAGCTAAGAGAGCTTGTGAGTGCAACTCAGTGACAGCTCGTCACTTTGCTTTGGTGCAATGTTTTGAACGCCTTGTCCCTACCCCTGCAGACTCTGAAAATGCAACTGCATTGTTTTCTGTCCCCCATGTCAGCAGATGTAGGATGAGTCAAGGATATAAGGCTGTAAAGCTGAATGAAATGGTGGGCAAGGTAGTCAGCATGTGTATCAATGGGAATACTTACCTAGCTACATTCCCTAACCGTTTTGAGAAGGACTAAAATGTTTCACAATGTTTAACTTAACTGGGTCTGGGATATGTGTGGACCTGTGTGGACAGCCTGTGCCCTGTTCCTCCATCCTCCTTTCTTACCAGGAGAGTGGCAGAATTCCATTGTGTTCTTCTTCATACGTGAAAGTAATGTTGCCTGTTGTATCTATGGTGATGAGATGAGCTGTTAAGTCCCGCTGTACTCCTTTCTTCACTATTGCCATTATGTCGTTGATTGACATTTTCACAGTTTGGGCCTGCAGTTCAAAGGTGCTATGCTAGTAATATCAAAAAGGTACTGATCTTACCAGTTAAGTTAAACATTATGAAACTTTTAACAGTTGTTCGTCAATTTGCAATATAATTACTGCTTTTTAACATGGGCCTATCTAAGAACAAAACTGTTGAAACACAAAGTCTTTTTTTTAGAGAATGGTCACAATGGGAATTTACTTCCATGTACATTTGTACTTAAGTTAGAGAATCCAAATGTGTTTAAGTGGGGTTCAAGCGCCACTAACGTGACCTGTCTAATACAGGTCCAGAACTTTTAGCCGAGTGGTTCGTGTGTTTGGTTTGCAAGCTGGCGGTCTGACAGGGAGCTATGGCTAACTCGCCTACAGGGTGGTAGATGGCTGGTGCTCCCAGGGAGCATGTCTTGCGCCCTGACCAACATGGACAGGGCAGTGTGGTCACTCTGTGTAAGATATTAAATTCTACAAGAAAGGGGTGTGCAGAAACAAATATCTAAGCCAATGTAAGGCATCAGCATTAGCCATTAGTGTTTTGTCTTAAAATCTCCAGTGTCAGAGGACTTTTTTAAGCTACATGTATATGTCAGACCTGTTAGAGTTGAAGATTGGCCTGGAGGCTGGGACAGGAGACAGTCAGACCAAAACTTAATTTAGTTATGGTAGTGACAGTTACAGAAGTCAACAAAAGGCTGATCTGTTTAAATAGTCATTTGGTACTGAACAAATGTATTTTATTTGCTATAGAAGAAAGTCATGATTTTGGAAAAATAACATGGATTGTGTCTGTATGCACTTTAGGAGGTTGCTAGAATTGTCATTGTTTATGTATTCATTTAATAACGTTAGATGCTTTTGTCAAACATATTAGGACTCTGGAGAGAGCCACTGATTCCACAACAAACTTCATATTTTGTATGGTTCAAAAATTTCCTATCAACAAAGGTGTTCAAGCCTGATTTGAAGATACCTGTCCATCCAGCCTGACAAAGCCTTACTAAAAGTAACATGAATTTGTTCCAAGTTACTGTATTAAAGATTCTTATTTAATTATCCCCCAAATTTTAAAATTTCTTTTCCTTTCTACAACCTGTAAAGTACTCATGGTAGCATCATTATCCAACTTTAAGTGAAGCTTTTTCTATTATACAGTGTTGTGGGTCACTGCTCTGTCACTGAGTACTGTCTCTGCAAAGACATTGATTAGTATAATTATGGCAATATTAATAATATCAATACAGTCTTGATCTGCCATGTACCTGGACCACTTCGTGTGGATGTAGCTCTTGTATTGCCTCAAGACCTCACTAGATATCGTTCCAATATGGTTATCTCTTCCATTCATTATTGTTACCTTGATTATGTTTATATGATATTTTGTGCCCTACTTGTATTATAGATTGTTGACTGTGTAATGTACATTCTTGTTGTTTTTGTATGTGGGAGGGCAACTAGCAAAGGTGCTTCGCACCTGTTTTGCCCTCCCTTTCACTTTGTGAAAAATTTAAATAAACAATAAACAATAAACAATGACTGTTATGACTTAACTAAGTACATGTATACCTTAATCTATTGGCAAATAAAAAGCTACAAAACCCTTATGTAACAAGAGAAACATTGTGTTTTGTCTGTGATTTGGTATCAAAAGAAGAGGTGCAGATAATTTTGAGTGTCTTAGGTTTTTCGATCCCTACGAGTCATCTCCATTTTGCACATCATGGCTTTTCAAGACTAGTCAAAATGTATATTACGACTAATCCCCAGGGAATCATCCATGGTAGCCATTTTTACCTAAAACATATAATACTTTGCGATATTAGCCCATTTGGGTGTAAGATTGCTGAGATATTGAAGGTCAGTCTGGAAAATTGGAGGGTGTTCTATATAGATACAAAATGTAGAGATACAAGATGTACCTGCTAATTGTAAGTTACGGGTATACATACAGCGATTTACATTTGTACAGCCAACAGTCTTCTAAGTGGTATAATCTTTAATAAGAATTTACAAATTCTGAACTCTTATTATAAGAAGCTTTCCTTTTTCTTTTTTGCTATAATTGTCTAAAATTTGTCGGCAGGAATTACCTCTGACCAATGTTTTCCGTACAATATAGGCCAAAGGATTTTAAGAGATACAATACGAAGTATACTGTTCTTGAACAGTAAACCAGTAACTATGCAATTATATTTTGTAACTGCATCTACACATACAGAGCCTCCTACATGTGCTATGAGGAGTTGCAAAGGATGGTCTGATCCATCATGTGACCATGTATGGGAACATTCTGCTCCCCCCCAGAGGTCATGTGACCTGTAGGGGGAGCAGAATGCTCTGTCAGTTTGTTGAGTAGAGTAGACATTTGCGCAATTGCTACCTGGTGAGGCACCAGGTTTCATTAACAAATGTCCTGAAATTTTAACAGAGATAGCTTGGGAATATACTTCCACAGGTATTCTTGGTTTAATTTTTTGGGTGCAGGCCCTAAACTAATTGATTGTAGCTTTTTTGTAAAAAAATAGTCCCAAAAAGTATATTGTAACTTATTGGCTCCTGAGCCTTCATATTAGGTCAAATAAAGGACCTGAAATTTGGTATAAGGATAGTGGTTCATGTACAGTGTTGGTGATCAAGTAAGCAGTATAATGACAAGAAGTTTCTGAAACAAGTCGACATTGTTTGACAGATGAAGGTCTGTAATACTCTACCTCAGGTCGATTTTCACACTACATTACAGTGCATTTTTCCCCCGTGACATAAGACATGCTTGTCACATCTGTTTTTCATTTGGGTTCAAGGGATCATGACGTGCATACCACACACAGATACAGTGTTGTTCTTAAACTTCTTTCACAAGAATCCATCTTCTTTCTGGTCTGTTCCTTACAATTATCGGCGACAAACTGACGGAAGATGGACAGTATAAAATGCTTGGGAAGTCACCAAGGTCGAGTTCACCTAGAGTCAGACTTCAGACAACATCGGGTTCAGTGGTGAGTTAAAAGCACTTTTTTTTAATATTGTAAAACTATACAATTATTTGGTATTTTACCTTGTACATGCTGTATGATTTTACAATCATATACATATCAGCATACATAATTCACTGTATATAATGCACATTGTCAAGTGTTTTCAACATGGTATTGACTCTCAAAGATAATTTCTGGTGTAGTTTGTTGAGTTAACAATACGTCTTGGTGTTTAAAAATGCAATTTCTTTTATGCCAGGTTGACGGAAAACCTACAACCTTCCAAGGGAAGTAATGTCAAATGTTCTGATGTGAAAAGTGCCCTCCATCTGGCCTTTGGCTTCCTGAGTGACCAGGAATTAGGTCACTCAATCAAAATGGCCTTTCCAGAAGTCTCTCGCACAAGGATGCAAGTCAATGGCAAAAGATGCTACTATTACAATGATCTACAGTTTGTGGGAATTGATTCACGCCACCCTGAGCCAAAAGAAATGGAAGCAACAGAAAGTGCGGACACGGGAGAAAGGTTTGACATTATACAAAGTCATGTAGCTGTGGAGGATCCACCTTTTCAGGAAGAAGAAGTGCCAGTGAGCAAGCCTTGTAGCAGGTCAAATAATCATGTGACACATGGCAGGGACTATCCTACATGTACATCAACACTGTCATCTGTATCTTCGCCAATTGCAAGCCAATTGCAAGACAGTCCTTACAGCCACCTACCCCCTTTTGCAGACATTCCTAGCACAGGTTCACCTCCTACAGCAACCAAAAAAACATGGACTGCACCACAATATACAGCTAGCACAAAAAACAGTATTACAACCCTTGAGGGACACAGGTGCTTTATCCCAAACTATGGTATGACTCAGAAGAGAATGAAAGGCATTGAAAAAAAAGTGGTAACCTTGGGCGGGCAGGCTCAGCTCTTTCTGGACAGCAGTACAACCTGCATTGTAATTGATAGACTAGCCATTTCTAATGGGCTGATCTTAGGAGAGAAAATCGATGATGTCCTCGACAAACTGAGGGAGAAAAATGTTCCACTGTTTGATGTCGCGGACTTCACCATCAGGAGACTGAGTTTTATCTGATGGACACAAAAATACTTTGATTTGATTAGTGTTACACTACAAGACAATCTGTAAAGTAGCTGGCATGTACATACATGTATGTACATGTAGGTCAACAAATTTTTCATCTACTGGTTTAATCTACTAGTAGACAATGTCTACTAGTAGATTAAACCAGTAGATGAAAAATAGCAAAGGTGCACTACAGTCTGACAGCTGACCAACAATCATTACACTCTGTCCCAAAACTTACATTTTTACAAGCTGTTCATTACTGCAACAATGTACTGTTATACACCGGTATGTTTGAAAATATTATGATACATACATAATGCATGTAGTTTTAAAAAAAAATAATCCTGTGCTCCTTGGTGCTGTCACTCTGATAATGCAAAATCTATCACAGTGCCCCATTCCAATTCTTGTTTATCAGTTGAATTGTAAACATAATGATTCAGTCAACTAGGTTTAAAGTGTTAAAATATCTCACTCACTCACTCACTGTCCGGTTTATCGTATTATATGGATATTGAATATTCTCTCAAGGTTTAATTAAATGTTTTGTTTGTTGTTAACCATTTCTTTGATGAGCCATAATATAATTGTGTTCACAAGTACTACAGGATAAAACAGTAATCAAGCATACCTGCTCAAGGCCATCATGATTTCATGTACAGCAGCAGTCGTTGGCCTCCTAATTAACTTATTGTTGAGTCCAGAAAAATAATATTGTACACATTATGTATGTCATCACCAGGAATATCCTAGGTGGTGTATCAGCTTCAGTGATAAATTTGAATGCACTCTTTGTAACAATTTGGTGATAAGAGAGGAAACATTTTTTGTTAAAAATGCATGGTTGGCAGTAATCACACTGTACTTTCCTGGGAGTTCCCCCCCCCCAGCATTATTATACAGTGTAGTTTGATAAAGACATTTATATTTCTACTCTATGGATAACCCTGTGCAATGTAATAGCACATATTTGAAAATATTAAAATAGTGACTTCCACAAACATCCAATTATTACAGAAAGGCCTCTAATGTAGTACATGTATGTTTACTGAATATTTTTCTTGCTCAGCTCAAATATTTCCTTCCTATATATTCAACCATTATGTGCATACAGTATGGATACATGTAGTATTTCCTTCTGCTTGCACACTTAGAATAGCTCAGAGTTTAAAGTTTGCATTCTTGGGCAGACTGCAAACTGCCCATGTGTTCTTCAACCAGCAAGTTGTTTCATTGCTTTGTTAGGTACAAAACCAATAAGCAGGGAGACATTAGAAGGTAAAAAGGCACTAGTACTGTGGATTTAGCAAGCAAAGTCCTGGGCTTGTTGGTTAGACCAAGGCCTTGGTTACAGCAATTTCATGGCAAACCCTGGGAATGCAGACCAGTGAAGGGGATGGTTGGCTCAGTGCAGCCAGGGGTTCAGAGAGCACAGATTTAGCCAATCTGTCATGGGGGCCTGCAAGGGGGGTCCCCACAACCCTCTACGCTAAATTTTGAGAGCTAGCTACGTATTACGCTGAATTCAGGAATCCTCTCGATTACGCTTTACGTTAAATTCCAGGTGGCTACAACGCATTACGTAGAATTAAAACGGCGAATACGCTTTACGCAAAATGCGCCAATTACGCTCTACGTTGAATTAGAGCGGTCCGTCGACGCTCTACGTAGAATTAAAATGGCCGATTACGCTCTACGGAAAAGGGCATGCGGGGCCCCCTGTCATGCATAATCTTCAAATCAACAGGTGGGCTGGTGAAACAGCACAAACAGCTACAATAACTGGTATTAACTAATCACACTTCCTCTGGGTAGCTGGGGTTGCTATCTCAGTATCTGACTGTATATGCTAGAGGCTTGAATGAGTGAAAACCATTCTGTACACAAGAAAAGGTTTCTTGAACTAAAAGTTGACAACTATTCTTGTAGCAAGAAAACCATTTTTAAAAATCTATTGAACTAGGGGATAGCTGTTCTTATGGCAAGAAAATCATTCTGTACACAAGAAATAAAAGCCTAAAGGAGGTCCTTTGAAGAAGAAAGACCTCACTCAGGCCCTGATCTCAATATAGCCATGATACTGTTGCACGCTGTCCCGTTGGGACTCTCGCTTACACATTCCAACACTGGGTCAATCTGGCCCTATCATCTACACTAAGGATTAGCTCAGGCTGTCTTCACGGGATATGACAACACACATACACTAGCAATCAGGAATTGAGAGTCTAAATTTGTATAGT